GGTCATTATTTATCGCCTGGCCGGGGTGTCGGAGGAATTCCGGCTAAAGACAGCATTATTTAGCTGACCCCCCTTCAAATGTTATTTTACTGAAGTGCTCCCCCTGATAACTATTGATAAATTTCGTTCTCCCCCCAATGTCTTCGCACACATATTTACCTTTCGAAGTGTATATTAAGTGCTTTTAACTGTTATATGAAAGTAACATTTCTAACTATGATGCTTACTTACAGCGTAATGAAGCCGCCACGTTACACTCTCTTGATCTGTGTCTTTTGCTAGTCTGGGTCCCGATATCTTATCAGGGCTCTTAGCGGAAGTTTTCGCAGGCGTCCAATAAACCAGCCAACCCTGGGGGAGAAATTTTGAAATTGCATTTTGGGGGCCAAAGTGTTACGGAAAATGAGTTGTTTATGATCATAAAATTAGACGTAGCAAGTAGCGCTGTTTCACCTTTTTAAATACTATTTTCTTCTTGAAACGTCTCAGTCTGTAAGTCTTAATTTATTGTTATATGAGAGCAAAATTTAATGACCGGAACAGGTGGCTACATTCGATTTTACAGCCGGTAGAATTCCGCCGCTCTACTGAGAACCCTGCGCAATCTAACCATCCCAAGTGTTTGGAAACTGCAAAGTTACTTTTAAGAGTGCCAAATAGCCGTCCACCAAGTCTGTATGGGCATGTGACATTTAGTGGTCCCCCCCCCTTTAATTTTGGGCTCTCAGTTATGACTGATCCCCCTTCTGTCATCCTAAAAATCAAATGATCCCTCCAAAATCCTCTCCCCCCACCCCCCAACCCCCAGGCGATAAAATTAATAATGACCGGTCCCTAAAGTTTCATGGGAAGACGTCTTTTTTTACAATAAAGATTAAATATTCAAGAAACTTGGCATTGTTGTATGTTCTTCTCAGTGTGTAATTTTATACTTTTATGTGGCGAAATGTTGTACCTGGTAAAAGGGTTACCCTTTACACCCACCCGAGCTTTACTCCGAGGGTCGGGACGAGTTAAACTGTTCAAAAGAAGAGATTTACCGATTCAACCGCAAAAATGCATCGGCAAATAAGTGACCTCTCACGCGAAAACCTTCCTTACAGTATCCGTTCGAACGGCTTAACGCACGGCAAACGAGGGCGGAAAAACATTCGGCGGGGCGG